AGATAGACTGGCCAGTACGGTTAAGATCGAGATAAGAAAAGCAAAGAGGAATAATGAACTGAAGGTTGCAAGTGAGGCGAAATCAAACCCCAAGGGATTCTTTCAAATGTATCAAACTAAAACACGAGAATAGATTGGACCAATACAGTCAGATACCGGCGAGCTAACTGATAACGACGGGGAAATGAGCACTAAACTGATTAAATATTTTTCAACAGTTTTCACCACCGAAAATTTAAACATAATACCCGAGGCACCGACTATATACAGAGATAGTGAAGAAAATAGAATAAGCGAGATAGTGGTGTCTGGTAAAGACGTTAGTAATCAAATAGACAAGTTAAAGCCTAATAAGTCGCCAGGTTCCGATGAGATATTTGCCAGAGTATTAAAGGAATGTAAGGAAGAGCTTTGCATGCCCTTAGTAAAATTATTTAACAAGTCCTTAAAGACAGGTGTAGTACCAGAATCCTGGAGGATAGTGAATGCAATACCGATTTTCAAGAAGGGATTAGATCACTATCCTTTAACTACTATCCAATCAGCTTAACATCAATTGCAGGCAAATTACTGGAAGCAATAATTTCAAACTCTATTCGAAATCACCTGGAGAAGAACAAGTTGATCAATGATTCCTGTCATGGGTTGCGCTGGTCCTCCCGCACAACCCATCCCAAATGATTGTTTAGGTAGAGATAAGGTACCCGGCCAGCCGATAGGGGTCATCTCACGCCTCAAAACCACATTTTAGCCAGTGGGCTTTAGTCCTTGGGTTATAGAAGACCTCCTGCTCCGCCGATTTAGAACAGGGCCATACAGTCCTACCAGTGCTACGAGTCTGTGTGTGCAAATCCCCGAGATCGTTGTTAAGTCCAGCGACAAGTTAACACATCCTGTAAAGGAAGTGATCAATGGTGAGGGCCCGTTTGCTACAAGAGCACTCCAGGCCGGCCTAATAGATCTAAACGGTTAATTCTCCAGGTTGGCAAACTCTCCCTTATAACTTACGGTACTGTGGCGTGAATGTGAGTGACTGACCTATCCATACAAATTATAAGTCCAGTGTATGGAATTGTGCCAAATAAATGTAAGAGCAATGATCTGCTCGTATCTGTGATCCCTCTATTATTATTATTACCAAAGGTAATGACTATATGGTTATGACAAATTATAACCAATAACTTAGATGGATATTGGAAATTAATGGAATTCATTAAATCATCATTTATCAAGTATACAACGCATTGAATGCCGGAAGCAGAGTGAAATTCTACGTAGTGATACACCATAATCTCCTCGGTGAGTAACCAGTGTGAAGGTATCTGAGTTCTACGGTAAGAAAACCACTTTCCTGTATTTAAAACGTAACAATTCCCAACATGGCTTCACAAGCGGGCGTTCATGTCTCACTAATCTATTAACATTCTTCAGTAAAGCCTTCGACAGAGTCCCCCACGAAAGAGTAATAAGAAAGTGGAGGCTCATGGCATAGGAGGAGATATTCTAAAATGGATTAGGGCGTGGTTACAGGACAGAAAACAGCGAGTGAACATTAATGGCACTAAATCCGATTGGAGTAACGTCACAAGTGGAGTACCCCTAGGCTCAGTACTTGGACCATTATTATTTATTATATACATAGACGACATAGATATCGGCGTAGACAGCAACATAAGTGAATTTGCTGATGACACTAAAATAGGACGTGTAATTAAATCTGGCGAGGACTCCGCAAAACTACAGGAAGATCTAAACACATTTTCGAATGGTCTGAAAAATGGCAGATGAAATTCATTATGGACAATTGTAAAGTACTTAGTCTAGGAGATGTAAACAGAGAAACCAGATATCAGATGAACAACGATGTTATAGAGAAAACCGAATGTGAGAAAAATATAGGAGTAATGATAAGTAGGAATCTTAAGCCAAGTAAACAATGTGTATTTACTCGAAACAAGGCTTATCAAGTGCTTGGGTTCATACAAAGAGAGGTCATCCTGAAACTATATCTTGCGCTTGTGAAACCTCACTTGGATTACGCAGTTCAATTCTGGTCACCGTATTACAGAATGGTATAGAATCCCTAGAAAGAATTCAGAGGAGAATGACAAGACTTATCCCGGGCATTAGGAACCTCGAGTACAGAGACAGGTTAAAGCATCTTAATTTGCACTCCCTCGAGATACGTAGAGTGAGGGGCGATATGATAGAGGTGCATAAATGGAAGTCAGGGCTAAACAAAGGGGACATAACAAAGGTACTCAAACTATGCAACCAGGAGCGAACTCGTAACAATGGTTTTAAGTTAGACAAATTTAGATTGAGGCGCGAAATAGGTAAACATTGGTTTGGAAATAGAGTAGTGGATGAATGGACCAAGTTAATAAACATCATTATTGAATCAAATACGATGGATAGCTTTATTTAAGCTGAACTTTCTTTATTTCTCTAAACATGACACAATCCACTCCAAAAAACATGGCACTGTTACAATACTCCCCCTGGTCGCTTATACCCTGTATTAAGGGACAAACCTTTTAGTTTGAGTGTGATGACGTGTGTGTCGGTAGTTGCAGTGACGAGGAGGAGGTCGGGAGCTTGATGGAGGATGTCCTTCCTGGCGGAGATACGTAATAAACGTACATGTCATCGGTATGGTCCAAAGGTGTGGAGCGCTGAAATGGGGGATCCCGCGTCCCCTGGTCCAACAGAGAGCCCTGGTGAAGATAGCACAGAGACAGGAGTAGGCATGGCTTCAGAAGGTGGACAGGTTGAGGCGAGGAGTAGACATCGTCGGGGCACGGGGATGAGTCAGGCCGACACGCTGGGAGAGCAGGGTTCGCCTGTTCAAACCCGGAGGGCTCTGCGGCAGTTGTGACAGCTGGCAGCTGTGAGGGAGTTAGTGGGCATTTGGGTCTCACAGAGGGCACCATGCGGCCAAAGAAGCCAAAGAGAGGCTCAACATGGCTCTCTAGCTTGTGAAGGAAGGACATGAGATGTGTCACCTCACCGGAGGAGAGTTGGGGAGGGGGAGGCACAGGTGCTAGCACTAAGTCTGGCAGCGTCGGAGTTGAGACGGGTATGAGGCCTAGGATCGTCAGCATGGCGTTGAAGTGGCCCCTCCACCTCCCCTGCTGCATCCCTCTCCACTTTCCTTACTACACCGTCAACACCCCCCTCCACCTCTCTTGACACACCTCCTAAACACCCCCCATCCCACCTCGTGCTACACCTATAACTGAAGCCTTATCATATTCCCACACTTCAGTCTCTCTTCCATATTAATTTGGAAACTTATTCAATCATGCTATTAACACCACGATGTAACGTGGTGTATATGTGCGAGTGTGCGTGTGCGCGCGTGTGTGTGTGTGTGTGTGTGTACATGACCCTTTCTCACTGCATAGGGTCTCCTCTTGCCCCCACCCCCTACCACTCCCCTCTGTTCGCCCCATTATCATTGACAGTGTTGAATTACATCTTCATTTCATTTTCCTGACTATTACCATTATCAATGTCTGCCTGGCCAGACCTCATTTACATTCCCATTGGCACCAGTGACAGATTCATTACATATATGCATGTATGACCGTATCCCCTCTCTCATAGCCTAAACGAAATGTTGTTGAACTATTGTATGAAATGGTATAAGAGGAGTGGATGAAGACGGTACCTGCCAAGATTTACCTGTATGTTGCCGTGATGAGGTGGACAAGCAGTGCTGGAGGAGAGTGAGAGAGAATGGGAGAGACAGAGGGGAAACAGATGAAGAGAACGAGGTTTGTATCTTTGTAGAGAACCAGTAGATGGTAACTCTCATCTCATTATCATGGTCATTGTCATCATCATCGTCTTTATTATCTTATTATCATCATTATCATCTTTATCGTCATCATTATCATCTTTATCGTCATCATAACCATATTTATCATCATCATCGTCATCGTCGTCATCGTCGTAACTATCACCTGAAGATTAGCCACAAGTTATTTCACCTGATGCTTAAACACCCTAACCTTACTTAGGTTAAGTTATAACAGGGTAAGTTAGACAAAGATAGTTTAGGTGAAGTTAGCTTTGGTTTGGACAAGTTACGTTATTTTAGGTTAGGTTGGGTTAGGTTAGGTTAGGTTAGGTTAGGTTAGGTTAGGTTAGGTTAGATTAGATTAGGTTTGGTTAGGTTAGGTTAGGTTAGATTAGATTAGGTTAGGTAAGGTTTAGCATTATATTATATTTTGTTAGGTTAGATTTTGCATTAAGGTGGGCTATCTTAAGGTGAAATCAGCTTGAAACTAATCTTCAGGTACTTTCAAATAATTAATCACAGTTGGACTCAATGACGTCTCAGCTCCTTTGTGCCGTGGACATAATAAAGGCATTTGTTCCGCCTCACGTTTCATAGTTTAATAAGAAAAAAGTTATTCATATTTATAAACTGTGACCTAGTGAGGTAGGCGCCACTTACCTGTATTAAATTATAATGTGTCTACAGGATGGCATATCCTCAACACGAGAGAGAGAGGACGTAAATAAAGGCCGGGGAAGAATGACACGAAATAAGATAATGGACAGTGTGGAGGTAAGATTATTAGGTGAAAAACGGACAAAAGAACAAAAGCAGGATGGTAGGCAGAAGGTGAGATGGTGTGGAACAACAGGTGGACGGTGTAGGGAGGAGGGTATTGCATGGATGGTATGGCGTGGAGAGTGTGGGGTGGAGGGTGTGGAGAGTGTGGAGTGGAGGGTAAGGGTGTGGCGTGGAGAGTGTGAGGGGGGAGGGTAAGGGTGTGGGGGAGTTTGTGTAGGTGTTTATCATTATAATGTTATTACAGAGCCTCAGCAAGTAAGGTCTTTAAGGGCGTAACAAGGTTAGTAATTACACATGTCCAACAACAATTAGACAACACCTGGCAGTGAAAACCTGTGATGGTACTGTGTTGGTGTGTAGACCTTACTGCACCAAGTGTGTCTCTCGTTTGAACTTTGACGCTGTGTCCAGTATGAACCCAGATGTTATGTTTAGTGTGAAACCAGATGTTGTGTCTAGTGTGAACCCAGAAGTTGTGTCCAGTGTGAACCCAAATGTGTCCAGTGTGAACCCAGATGTTATGTCCAGTGTGAACCCAGAAGTTGTGTCCAGTGTGAACCCAAATGTGTCCAGTGTGAACCCAGATGTTGGGCCCAGTGTGAACCCTGATGTTGTGCCCAGTGTAAACCCTGATACTCTGTCCAGTGTGAACCCTGAAGCTGTTTCCAGTGTGAACCCTGATGTTATGTCCAGTGTGAACCCTGAAGCTGTGTCCAGTGTGAACCCAAATGTGTCCAGCGTGAACCCTGATGTTGTGCCCAGTGTAAACCCTGATACTCTGTCCAGTGTGAACCCTGATGTTGTGTCCAGTGTGAACCCTGATGTTATGTCCAGTGTGAACCCTGAAGCTGTGTCCAGTGTGAACCCAAATGTGTCCAGCGTGAACCCTGATGTTGTGCCCAGTGTAAACCCTGATACTCTGTCCAGTGTGAACCCTGATGTTGTGTCCAGTGTGAACCCTGAAGCTGTATCCAGTGTGAACCCTGATGTTATGTGCAGTGTGAACCCTGAAGCTGTGTCCAGTGCGAAACTTGATATTGTGTCCAGTGTGAACCCTGATATTGTGTCTAGTGTGAACCCTGATGCTCCGTCCAGTGTGAACCCTGAAGCTATGTCCAGTGTGAGCCCTGATATTGTGTCCAGTGTGATCCCCGATTCTGTGTCTAGTGTGAACCCTGATATTGTGTCCTGTGTGAACCCAGATATTGTTTAGTGTGAACCTTGGCGTTGTGTCCAGTGTGAACCCTGATTCTCTGTCTAGTGTGAACCCTGATTCTGTGTACAGTGTGAACCCTGATTCTGTGTTATAGTGTGAACTTGACTCTGTGTCTAGTGTGAACCCTGATTCTGTGTCTAATGTGAACCTTGATGTTGCGTCCAGTGTGTAAAAGGTTCAGTGTGGTATGGTTGGTATGTAGAAGGTTCAATGAAAATGTAATATTTCGGCGGACAAAAGGTCGTTTATTTGCGGCATCACAAAAAGGATACAGAGTAGAAGTAAGAAAGGGTGTTTATCAGACCCCAACGGTCAGGATATGGTCTCGTTAAGTGTTACAGAGTATTTCTAGTACATTGTTTGTTTAGTTCAGTACATAGAAGTTTACTTTGGTGATAAATGCCAAGTGTGGATACAGACTTAGTGGTATCAGGAAAATTGCCCCTCGCACAACTGTACCTGACACCTGCCCCCTGACAACTGCTCCCGAACAACTGCCCCCGACACTGCTCCCGGACAACTGTCCTAGAACCAGCTTTAGTACTGTATATCAGCTATCTTGCCATCAGAGATAAAGGGATCAATTTTTCACAGTCTAAGACATTGTGTTGGGGTGTGTGTGGCCATTTGTTTGGCCTGAGACACATACTGCCAGAGGTACTTATATCCTAACCTAAGTCTAGCGGTTACAACATCTTATAATCGAGTGATGTTGTTATTTGCTACAAATACATGTTTCACTTGATACATCTTATCATGGTCGACAGTGGATTCACTCGTGTCTGTTTGCACTTGGGTGCTTGCCTAAAATTCATCAACGACCTTTCCGTGGAGAGTTTTTAGGGTTCTGTTTGACAGTCCTAGATTGTATTCAGCAGTGCCTTTGATATATGTGAATTTAGCTAAGGCATCAACTCTATCATGCTCACTGATGCCTATGTGACAGGAATCTACAGCACATATGCTTGTGTCTGGCTTCAGAGACAAGCGGGTGACATTAAGTTTATGGTATCAAGAGCAAGTTGTGAGGATAAGGAGTCAGTGATGATGGGACTGTCAGTGGCAGTGTCTTCAACAAGTTTGAGGGCTTTGATTTGAGTTTGGAAAATAGTTTAGTTTGTGGAGTGAGTGGATGCCCAATTATTAATTCTGTATCCTTTCCATATTGTATTACCGTTAGGCTGAGTCACAATGACAGCACTTCCAGCCCTTCCGCCAGTGTAGAGTAGACGGTCAGTGTGATGCTATTTTCACTCTGTCGGTTATTTACTGCATGTGCTCAAGAGGTCTCACTTTGGTGGTGTGTTGGAAATAAGGAGGTTCATTGTGGTGTGGTTGGTATGGAGATGGCACGCTAGCAGCTTCATGGAGGCGAGCTGCCCAAGTTTGCTCCGAGAGTCAAGTATAGAAGTATGTGGGGAAGAATTTAAATTGTTGGTTCTATGAGTGTTGTGGAGCTGTGTTGTGGTGTTTTATTGTGGTATTGTAGTACTGTGGTGTTGTGGAGCTGTGTGTTGTGGTGCTGTGTGATGTGGTGTTTTATTGTGGTATTGTGGTAATGTGGTGTTGTGGTGTTGTGCGTTGTTGTGTTGTGGTGTTTTACTGGGTGTGGTGGTGTTGTATGTTGTGGTGCTGTGTGTTGTGTTGTGGTGTTGTAGCACTGCAGTGTTGTGGTGCTGTGTGTTGTGTGTTTATTGTGGTGTTGTGGTGATGTGTGTGGTGGTGTTGTGTGTTGTGGTGATGTAGTACTGTGGTGTTGTGGGGTTGTAGTACTGTGGTGTTGTGGTGTTGCGTGTTGTTGTGTTGTGGTGTTTTACTGTGGTGTGGTGGTGCTGTGTGTTGTGTTGTGGTATTGTGGTGCTGTGTGTTGTGGTGGTGTGTTGTGGTGCTGTGTGTTGTGGTGCTGTGTGTTGTGGTGCTGTGTGTTGTGGTGCTGTGTGTTGTGGAACTGTGTGTTGTGGTGCTGTGTGTTGTGGTGCTGTGTGTTGTGGTGCTGTGTTGTGGTGCTGTGTGTTGAACTGTGTGTTGTGGTGCTGTGTGTTGTGGTGCTGTGTGTTGTGGTGCTGTGTTTTGTGAACTGTGTGTTGTGGTGCTGTGTGTTGTGGTGCTGTGTGTTGTGGTGCTGTGTGTTGTGGTGCTGTGTTGTGGAACTGTGTGTTGTGGTGCTGTGTGTTGGGTGCTGTGTGTTGTGTGGTGATACTGTGGTGTTGTGGTGCTGTGTGTGTGGTGTGTTGTTGTGATGCTGTGTGTTGTGGTGCTGTGTGTTGTGGCTGTGTGTTGTGGTGCTGTGTTGTGGTGCTGTGTGTTGTGGTGCTGTGTGTTGTGGTGCTGTGTGTTGTGGAGCTGTGTGTTGTGGTGCTGTGTGTTGTGGTGCTTGTGAACGTGTGTTGTGGTGCTGTGTGTTGTGGTGCTGTGTGGTGCTGTGTGTGTGGAACTGTGGTGCTGTGTGTTGTGTGTGTGTGGCTGTGTGTTGTGGTGCTGTGTGTTGTGGAACTGTGTGTTGTGGTGCTGTGTGTTGTGGTGCTGTGTGTTGTGGTGCTGTGTGTTGTGGTGCTGTGTGTTGTGGTGCTGTGTTTTGAAACTGTGTGTTGTGGTGCTGTGTGTTGTGGAACTGTGTGTTGTGGTGCTGTGTTGTGGTGCTGTGTTGTGGTGCTGTGTTGTGGTGCTGTGTGTTGTGGTGCTGGGTTTTGTGAAACTGTGTGTTGTGGTGCTGTGTTGTGGCGTGTGTTGTGGAACTGTGTGTTGTGGTGCTGTGTGTTGTGGTGCTGTGTGTTGTGGTGCTGTGTGTTGTGGAACTGTGTGTTGTGGTGCTGTGTGTTGTTGTGCTGTGTTGTGGTGCTGTGTGGTGGTGCTGTGTGTTGTGGTGTTGTGATACTGTGGTGTTGTGGTGCTGTGTGTTGTGGTGTTGTATGTTGTGATGCTGTGTGTTGTGGTGCTGTGTGTTGTGGTGTTGGATACTGTGGTGTTTTGGTGTTGTATGTTGTGGTGCTCTGTGTTGTGGTGTTGTAATACTGTGTGTTTTGGTGTTGTGTGCTGTTGTGATACTGTGGAGTTGTGGTGTTGTATGTTGTGGTGCTGTGTGTTGTGGTGTGATACTGTGGTGTGTGTTGTGATACTGTGGTGTTGTGGTGGTGTGCTGTGTTGTGATACTGTGGAGTTGTGGTGTTGTGGTGCTGTGTTGTGATACTGTGGAGTTGTGGTGTGTTGTTGTGGTGCTGTGTGTTGTGGTGTTATACTGTGGTGCTGTGTGTTGTGATACTGTGGAGTTGTGGTGTTGTATGTTGTGGTGCTGTGTGTTGTGGTGTTGTGATACTGTGGTGCTGTGTGTTGTGATACTGTGGTGTTGTGGTGTTGTGGTGCTGTGTTGTGATACTGTGGAGTTGTGGTGTTGTGGTGCTGTGTTGTGATACTGTGGAGTTGTGGTGTTGTATGTTGTGGTGCTGTGTGTTGTGGTGTTGTGGTGCTGTGTTGTGATACTGTGGAGTTGTGGTGTTGTATGTTGTGGTGCTCTGTGTTGTGGTGTTGTGATACTGTGGTGCTGTGTGTTGTGACACGTGGTGTTGTGGTGTTGTGTTGTGATACTGTGGGTGGTGTTGTATGTTGTGGTGCTGTGGGTGTTGATACTGTGGTGTTGTGGTGTTGTGGTGTGGTGCTGTGGTGTTGTGGTGCTGTGTGTTGTGGTGTTGATACTGTGGTGTTGTGGTGTTGTATGTTGTGGTGCTGTGGTGTTGTGGTGCTGTGTGTTGTGGTGTTGTGATACTGTGGTGTTGTGGTGTTGTGTGTTGTGATGCTGTGTGTTGTGTGTTTGATACTGTGGTGTTGTTGTGTTGTGTGTTGTGGTGCTGTGTTGTGGTGTTGTGATACTGTGGTGTTTTGGTGTTGTGCGATGTGATGCTGTGTGTTGTGGTGCTGTGATACTGTGGTGTTGTGGTGTTGTATGTTGTGCTGTGTGTTGTGGTGTTGTGATACTGTGGTGTTTTTGTGTTGTGGTGCTGTGTTGTGATACTGCGGAGTTGTGGTGTTGTATGTTGTGGTGCTGTGTGTTGTGGTGTTGTGATACTGTGGTGCTGTGTGGGTGATAATGTGGTGTTGTATTGTGCTGTGTTGTGATACTGTGCTGTTGTGGTGTTGTGATACTGTGGTGCTGTGTGTGATAATGTGGTGTTGTATGTGGTGCTGTGTGTTGTGATACTGTGCTGTTGTGGTGTTGTATGTTGTGGGGCTGTGGTGTTGTGGTGCTCTGTGTTGTGGTGTTGTGATACTGGGGTATTGTGGTGTTGTGGTGCTGTGGGTTGTGGCGCTGTGTGTTGTGGTGTTGTGGTGTTGTGTGTTGTGATGCTGTGTGTTGTGGTGCTGTGATACTGTGGTGTTGTGTGTTGTATGTTGGTGCTGTGTGTTGTGGTGTTGTGATACTGTGGTGCTGTGTGTTGTGATACTGTGGTGTTGTGGTGTTGTGGTGCTGTGTTGTGATACTGTGGAGTTGTGGTGTTGTGGTGCTGTGTTGTGATACTGTGGGTTGTGGTGTTGTATGTTGTGGTGCTCTGTGTTGTGTGTTGTGATACTGTGGTGCTGTGTGTGATACTGTGGTGTTGTGGTGTTGTGGTGCTGTGTTGTGATACTGTGAGTTGTGGTGTTGTATGTTGTGTTGTGGTTGTGGTGTTGTGATACTGTGGTGTTGTGGTGTTGTGTGGTGCTGTGGTGCTTGTGTGCGTGTGTTGTGGTGCTGTGTGTTGTGGTGTTGTGGTGTTGTGTGTTGTGATGCTGTGTGTTGTGGTGCGTGATACTGTGTGTTTTTGGTGTTGTGCGATGTGATGCTGTGTGCTGTGATACTGTGGTGTTGTGGTGTTGTATGTTGTGGTGCTCTGTGTTGTGGTGTTTGATACGTGTGGTGTTTTGTGTGCGATGTGATGCTGTGTGTTACTGTGGTGTTGTGGTGTTGTGTGTTGTGGTGCTCTGTGTTGTGGTGTTGTGATACTGGGGTATTGTGGTATTGTGGTGCTGTGTTGTGTAGTGTTGTATGTTGTGGTGCTGTGTGTTGTGGTGTTGTGATACTGTGGTGTAGTGGTGTTGTGGTGCTGTGTTGTGATACTGTGAGTTGTGGTATTGTATGTTGTGGTGCTGTGTGTTGTGGTGTTGTGATACTGTGGTGCTGTGTGTTGTGATACTGTGGTG